AAGGCGGCGGAGCCGGTCGCCTCGCGGGTCCACTCTGGCTTCCAGAAGCCGCCGTGGAGGTAGACGAGGAGCGGGAAGGGGCCGTCGCCCGCCGGGACGTGAAGGATCGCGTTGTGTGTCTCGCTGCAGCTCGCGGCGGCGGATGAGATCGCGACCGAGGCATAGCTGATCTTCTGGTCGCACATCTGCCAGCCGTCACACCGAGCCTCCGGAGGAGCAAAGGACGCCCGAGAAATAGCGCAACGGGCCGGGCAAAAACAAAGAGGTCTCCCCGCAATTGCGCGAGCGAAGTTTAGACGCCGTCGCCAACTGAGGGCCCAACTTCAGAATCGTGCTTTTTTGGGTTAGGGACGAGCGCGAAGGACCGATTGCGGTGAAGGACCGCAGGTTAGGGACCGATCGCCGCCGCTCACGCCAGCGGACGGTCTTCGTCAGTGATGTTAGCTACGCCACCGTCTACCTCGTGCGCAATGCGCTCGCCGGCATCGAGCGAGCAACGTGTTCGACCGAGCGGCTTGCTGTGCGGACGGCTTCTTGTGGCTCTCGTCGAGAGCGTTTTGCGGCCCGGCGGGTGGGAGAGCATGTGTCGTCTGATGTGTCACTGTGTACGTCATATCAGTCTTGATAACAAGTACGGTCGATCCGTCAAAGCGATACACTCGTCACGATCACGTTGGACGGCTTGCACAGAGCTCTGTGCCGGCACGCATCAGGAAGACCGCCGTACGGCAAGAAGAGCTCGATGGGGAGCGAGAACCGTCAGAGGTGCTCACGGAGGTTTCGGAAGTCCGCCATGGTGCGGTCAGTTCCCCCCAGGTTTGACTGCGTAGGTCGCGGAACTCGTTGAGTACTCGCAGCCTTTCTGCGCCTCCGTCTGGGCATATCGGCTGCTCGGCAAGAGCAGTCTTTCCGGAAGATATCGACGGTTTTCGAGAGCCACGCGCTTGGGAGCGATTGAGCGCGTCACGGAGGACTTCAGGTTACCCTTGAAGCTCCTCTGACGGTTCTCGCTCCCCATCGAGCTCTTCTTGCCGTACGGCTCTTCCTGTTGCCGGCACAGAGCTCCGTGCCAGCCGTCCAACGTGATAGGAACGAGTGTATCGCTTCGACGGATCGATCGACCGTGCTTGTTATCAAGACCGATGTGACGTACACAGTGACACATCAGACGACACATATTCTCCCACCCGCCGGGTCGCAAAACGCTCTCGACGAGAGCCACAAGAAGCCGTCCGCACAGCAAGCCGCTCGTCGGACAGGCGTGCTCGCTTGATGTCGGCGAGCGCATTGCGCACGCTTTGAACGGTGGCGAAGCCAAAAACACCGATGGTGGCCGTCCGCCGGCGTATGCGGCGGCGATCGGTCCCTAACCTGTCGCCCGCGGTCCCTAACCCAAAAGTGGTCCTTCGCGCTTTGGTCCCTAACCAAAAAAGCACGATTCTGAAGTTGGGCCCTCGGTCTTCTCTTCTTGCGCTTCGGCGGTAGTGATCTAATCACCCGAATACCACGTTCGGATCGCTCCTCATCGCAAACCCTGTCAGCAGTTCACCTACGGGAATGTTCGGGAGAGATCTTTTGAGCTACGAGTATATTCAGAGAGAAAAGATGACTCGCGCCCAAACTCGTGTTGCATACCCGCCCCGCGCATGCACACCAGTTTGCTGTTGTTGGCGTGCGCGGCGTGCGCTGTAGCGGCGGCGGATCCGCAGAGCGAAGAGCTGCTCGAGCTCGCCGCACGCGTGCACGGCGACGGCAACCTCGGCGGCGCCAATCTTCCGACGGTCGTGCTGGTGGGGCACCAGAACGCCGGCAAGTCGTCGCTGCTCGAGGCGCTGCTCGGGATCAAGCTGACGCACGTGGGCAACGAGGGCCTGACGCGGCGGCCGCTCCAGATCACCGCGCAGCGCGACGACTCGGCCGCCGAGCCCGCCCTCTTCCTCACGCGTGACGGCGGCGGCAGCGGCGGCGGCGAGGAGCAGGTGCGGCCTGAGCAGCTGCGGTCGCTGATCGAGCGCG